GCCAAGGAATGCTGATTTTCAAGTGCCATATCCTTCCTTCGAGTTAGTAAAATTTAAAATTGCGATAAAATTATTTTGAACAAGTGTTAACCCTTTGAATTTAAATTTAATTTATAACAAGTTGAGGATTTCTACGAAGAAAAATTTCACCCTCGAAAAATCTTAATAAACAAATATTGAGCACTAGAGTATCCAAAAAGCAAAATTTATAAACAAATGAATATCAACCCCTTAACAAAGTAACTTTTATTTTTAATATAAATTGAAATTATAGTTAGCAAAATTGAAAATCTCCAAGGAAAGCTTATACAAAATATTTCATTGTTTTTACAGAGACGTTATCAGAATGATATTATAATTTTCTAGATTCTAAGATGAAGAAGTCAAAACAAAATTCATCGTTCAGGGTCGTTTTCGTCGTGAGAGGAATAACGTAGTACGTGCTATTGTACGCGGGAGCATTTCCCTTATTTGTATTCCAAGAGGATGAACATGATAGGAGCCAATGGAGAAATCACAAAAGAACCGTTCAGATAAGTCACGTTCACCTTGACGGACTTTCGGGTCGGTCTATAAAAGAGACGTGCACCTCCTCGATGGCACAGTCACAGTTACAGCCGAATCGTTCGAAATGTTTCCTTCGATTGTTAGTATCCTCTTCGTGGCCCTGGCCCTGCTTCAAGTCTCCTCTGCTGTCGATATTTCCAAGTACAAGAACATTCGATTGGAATTCACCAGCAGTGACGGCGTAACGCAAACGAAATTGGTAAGAAACTTTAACATTATTTTACTATATACTATTAAATAAATGTTTTTTTAACGAAGATAATAAAGACTAAGATTTTAACAAGTTTCTGTCAAATGACAGCTGTAAGTACTTTGATTTTAATTTTTGTATTTAAAAATCTATCACCTAAAATTCACAATGATCTATAATTGAATAAAAAAAACATTTTTATAACGAAAAATAATGATCGGTTTTAAATTTTCGGGAACTGAATATTAGATGTTGTGAAATATAAAAATTGCAAATTCATACAAAAATGAGAAATTAAAAGAAATTTGTAAATTTCGTACAAATACATTTTCAATTAGAGGAAGAATAGAGATAAAATTTCATTTCTCTCCAAATAGAAATTTTTACTGGATTTTTCTCTTTGTTTAAATAAAAGGGTGACGATCGTGGAGCAGGCTTCATTGGAGATTTTAGTGCCGGTCAACGTTACTCGGATGAAATCATTTTCCGTCGAGTTGTGGAATTTGAAAATCCAACCAATATGGTTCAAAGTACAACTTTGAATCTAAGCGTTTCTAATGGTAAAGTTTCATATCTCACTTTATATTCCAAATTCCTACGAATTTAATTATGAATTATCTATCAATTTTTCTATGAATTTAATTATGAATTATCAATCAATTTTTTTATAAATTTAATTATGAATATCTACCAATTTTTCTATGAATTTACTAATCAGTATTATTTCAATAATTTTAATCTTGTCTTCCAAATAATATTTTCATAAAATTAGGTATTAGAGTCATAAATTTCCTATTAAAGAAATTATTATATTCAATATGTCCTTTATTTATTGTTAACAAGTTGAACAAACAACTAAAGATAACCATCGTTCGTTTTAAAAAATGTATAGAACACAAACAACACTGTTTTCGCGATGTACAAGGCAAGATATTTGGTAAACAAAAATTTGTAAATAAACATTTTTCTACAGCAATCATCCACTATGTGAGTGCAAGAAACGCGGTTGGAAGTTACGCAGTGGTGTGCAACGAATCAAACAGTTTAGGATCATCAAAGGGTAGCATCACTCTTCGAGTGCCACCAAATTCAACGTCTTCGTTAACTTTACTGATTGCAGCACATAGTCAGTTACGTATGATATAAACTATTTCTGAATTGAGCTTGATTCCGAACAATCCTGCCATGTCTACGAACTTGTATAGTATTTCTTTTTTGCTATTAAAATATACAAGGGTGTCTTAAAATAATATAAGATGTAGGATTTAAGTAATATGTTAATGTAAAATATTGGAATTAAAAAAATTTTAAATAAATGCAGTATTATCTAATCCTGATTTTAGATTATTAATTGTACACTAATAATTGGTGAAATGTGAATATATATTCCATTTGGAAGGACTTCGTTCCAATTCTTTGATTTCATAATAATATAAATATTATTATTATTAAAACATTAATTGCAGTGAAAGTTTCTAATAATCAGCACCATAGAATTGATATTACTCAAATAATTAAAGAGAAAAAAAAATAATTTTGAATAGCATTAATATAAATTGGTCAATTCACTGATTGCTCCAATAAAGAATTGGCTATTCTGTATTAAAAATATCGACAAAACTTGAGTAATTATTTTCGTCAAACTTGAAGCTTTAAATTGATATACCACGCGTAATATTTTATATTACTTTTCTGTCATCAAATCAAATCAGACTCTGTCTATATTTCAAAATCAACCATTCGATAATGTTTACAACCTAACAATTACTTGATTAAATTCAACTTCCAAACGCCAATCACAAATAGCTCCAATAGCAATCAATACGTTAATATCAAAGCTTTATATAATATTCAATCAAGAAATTCTTCCAACAAACATTACTTCATTGCATCAGACGTCAGCAATACTTGTAACCATATTACAAGCTTGTTCGTTAATCACATATTGTCCCCTTTGGATTTTCACGTTCCAAATATTTTCAGGCCATCAAAGGCCCTTTTTCGACGGCGACATTATTGTCGTAATTAACCGGGCGTACGGGCTGTTACAGTGCGCAATTAGGGTTGCGTAACGAGCAACCGAACAATCCTGCAAACAAATCACGTTCATGGAAGCAACACATGCGCCGATTGTATGCGTAACAGGTGAGCACCTGACAAATGTAAATTTCGCGAATACTATTTTCATCGCGTCGTGTCGCGTCAGCGTAGATTTTTATGTCCCTTTAGACAATGCTGACTCATGAATACCATAAGCTTCGTGTACCCAGTGCATTCCATGAATGATAAATTTGAAAATAATTTGAGGTGAAAAATATTAATGGATAGAAATCATTTGAGGAAAAAAAAAAAAATGGATCGTCCAAAAATATATAGTTAAGTGTTGCCCTGAGATATGTATTAACACTAAAACTATCGACGTTTGATGTATACTAATTTTTAACATGAAAATAATACAGAAAATTAAATAAATAGGGGATGAAACATAATTTAATATCCATTCTTTATCTCGACAATAGCAAACATACATTTCAGCAAAATTACCTTGACAAAATTTATAAATTGAAGTAAGAAACTTGAAAGCAGTCTTTTTGACTGGTTTGGTAGTTCTAGTGTTAAACCTCAAATTATAATTAGGAAATAAATCTGCGAAATTTCAATTTTTGTACTTCTATATATTTATATGTTTTCAAATTACTATGCTTTTTTATATTTCAAGTAATTTGAAGAAAATACTACATGCACAACGAGCAGCAGGTTCATTAAATTCCAAGTACGCTGAAACCTACTACTTTTCGCTGTACTTCCATGTGACAAAGCAACGTCAGAGGGTGTCGTGTAATCGTTTCTCGTTACTTCATGAAATGCTGCTAGCTTAGTGATCCTTGCCAGATACAAGATAAATAGAACGAAGGAATACGGCACTGTTGCAAGAGTTCCAAAGAGACTCTTGACCGTTCGTACGAGGTACATTAGTTACGAGCGACCTGGAAATTTCTCAACAAAACGACCAATAAAGTGTATTTCTTGACCGTAAGGGAAGCTTTTCATCCGTTGACCGAGACTTTTCCCTTTTGTGAGAAGAAAAAAGAAGGAAACAGGGCCACGAGTGGACGAAAGACAAATAGAAACGATACAACGCTTTCCTTCTCAGGGTTTCCGAGGAAAAAAGTCCAACAGTAATGTGAACCACGCAATACTTAAGATTTTTCCTGTGTCTTTTTTTCTCGTGTCATCATGCAACGTGATTTCATAAGAAAAAATTGAAATTAACTTTTACTTTGTAAATGTGGATCAATTTTGTTCAAGCTGGTTGAAAATTAATTCCTAGGAAAATAATACCTAATTCTTATTTGAAATATTCAAAGAAGTCCTATAAATTTTTTCAAATTTTCACGATACCTTTATATATTGAAAAACGTGTCTGATATAAATGACCCATGTTTATAGTGTAAAGGTTCCAAAAGTAAATTTATGGGCGACGAGGTATTTCCTGAATACATCAAATGATAAAGGGGATGTAATAGAATTACGTACAAAAGAGTACAACTTTTGTGAGAGAAGGAATTGCATAGAATGCAGAAATCTTCGAGTAAAATTCAGTAGAAATGCATCCCACGTTAAACGAAGTCTCAGATAACTATATTAGAATTCAATTTCTGCACCGAGAAAGAGCAACCCTCAGAGAGTAGTTTAATGGACAGTGCTCGTTCAGGTTGTTCCCCTTTCTTGCCTGACAATGATTTATTATTAAATATATCTACCGTAATACCACATTCTACCATATTATTATGAAGAATGTTGGCGTCAGTGAATTATCTCAACACAGAAAACAAGCAATTTTGTAATCTCTTATGTTTACCACTAATAACTACAATGTCGATGAACTTAGTCTTCAGGAAAAAAAAAAAAACTGTTCTCATGTCTGGCTTCTTTTCGACCCAGTTACATACAGATTAGCGAATCAGTGTCGCTATCGAAAAGTGAAGTACTATAAAACAGTTTCAAATAAAAACTTTCAAAAAAATGGCGCGTTTTAAAAAGGGACGTCTCGTTAGTGAAAGTAATTTCAGCTCACAGAGTAGTGCGAAATAAAAAAAATTGAAAAGGCTCTTTATCAATGCGAGTACCTATCGCTATAGATGGTAAAATTAATATAAAATGTTATATTAAGTTCAAATATTAAAATTTGTGATTTTCTTTTTAATTTTGCAACGAAGAAATTACAAAACTTTGAAATATTACGAAATTTCAGATAATGTTCTACTTACACTTTTTTATTTAAACTCTACTAGTCGAAAGAAATAGTAAGCTTGATTAGCCCTCCTTTAAATATTTCTAAGGTTAATGCTTTAAATGCCACAAGTTTTCTAAAATTTTGGAAGGAGGAGATCCACTTCTTTTACTTGGCCAAATACATTCCGGGGTGATAGAAAATTCATCAGAGGTTTCTATACAAGACGTCACACTAGTGAGCTTCTGAGAACCCTTGACGCAGCTGAGGAGAGTCTTGTAATGAGCTTACCAACTGAAGAAGCCCTATCGACGAGATCCACGGCAAATGTGGCAAAGGAAAAACTGGCAAACAGTTGGAGACGATCGTTTCGACCGCTACAACGCGGCAGGACACGGGGAAAAAGCACGGGAAAGGTTGAACCCACACGGGAAAACTCGCCAACCGTATCGTGATTCGTTAAACTTGTCTCGTGATCGACGGAAAACTGATTTATCGCGGTGAGTTCTCGCGCGATGGAAACTCCGCGTGCAAGTAATTTAGTTTCGGGGAAAGTTCATAAAGCACCTCGAACTTCTCTCTATATTCTCACGGGGAAATGGGAGGGTGTAAAAGCTGTGGTGAAGAATGATCCGGTAACTGTGAAATCCCACTTCCTCGTGATATATAACATTGCATAAAATTGTTTAACCAATCCATTCTTATTCGGATTTGAAAGAGACGTGTTTGATTCTTCTCTCGAAAGTTTCAATAGTATTCAATGAAAAAATTAGTGAAATTTTCTTAAATTTTCCAAGCTTTTATTCTTCGATTTCTGTCACTTCAAATTTTTAATCTTTTTCCTTTCATTTATGGATATATCATTCAACCAAGAATATGAAAATGTAAATTTACAATATTTTGCTGCTGTGATAAAATGTATTTTTTTTAAAATAGTAAGTTTTTCTCACCCAAGAGCACTATCTCCCATTATTGAATTTAACAATACTAAAATTTAATTTAATATAAAACGTTAAAAAAACAATTACGAATTGTTCGTACAATATTCATTTATTTGTAATCCTGAAGAAAAGAAAAATGAAGAAAAAGTTTGGATAAAAGTCATAATTAAAGAGAACAGTACCTCCTGAAAGGAACAAGTTAAAACAGAAACAAAAATGAAAATCAACAGGCGTACTTTGCATTGCAATTTAAATAATGTACCGAGAAGTGGCTATTACTGCAATAGAAACCTGAATAAGATGGAAAATTAATTTAGGACAACAGTAGCTAAAATGTGTCTTAATTCGCTACTCTTTAAAGTTTTAATAGGTGCTAATCAAATAATTTTAATAAGCTCATTCGAAAATAAGTAAAGTACTCGACAACTTCATTTAATTTCGTTGGAACTTACTTTTATAACTTTATTAAATTGCACAATTATATTCCTCGAAGTTTAATCTTTCAAGAAAGTAACTTTAAAACATGTTTAAACTAAATACCGAAAAAAAGTAATTTTCAGCGAAGAGAAAAAAAAATATGTGCCATTCTGCTTGTACGAAAACAAGCTTATACTTATTCATGAGACAATTACAATATGCTGATCTCGTTGCAACGCAATTTCGGTGATTGAACTCGCACCAGCTTTCGATGTTTTGTCTACAAGCTTTCGGCAAACTTTAAATTACAGTCAGACGAAACAGATTAAAAACGAAAACGATGCGACAGAAATCACAAAACGTTAACTATCTGGAAGGAGATTTAACACGATGAATGAAAATATTTGAAATATTGAATACTCTTTGTTCAATAATCTGAAATTTAAATGAGATACTTTGAAAGTTGAACGATGAATTTTTAAACTTTCTCAAAACTCACTAGTCTTTTTTTCTGTTACAATTAAATTAATTATAAAGTTATTCATTAGCATTTATGCACTGTAAGAAGATTCTTAATGGAAAGAAATAGCTAAAAATAGCTTTTAGTGCAACGTTAAAATAGCATTTGTCTACTAGTTACCTAATAAATAAATGTAATTTAGATAGAAAACAAACAATTTGTATTTAACCGAATAAAAATAATCTATGCAGCTATTTATATTTGACCTTACTTTATACGGGTACTCGGCTTCTCCACTTATGCAACACATAGGATATAAATGCATTTAAAACCTTTGTAATTTTGGAATATTTCAACCAGAACAATATGCAAATAAGTGTGCACACGTATCTGATTATTAATTATTATGTTTGCAAATATAAAATTTTTGTTGCCTTTCTTCTATTATGGAGAAATGCTAATTTTCATAATGTATATCAGACATCCTGTATATAAGAAAAAAAAAGGGAACAGACTGTGTTGTACTGATGAAGACATCTATAATTGTCTCTTAGTTAACAGCTATCTTCGCCAGTGGCGATCAAACTTTAGCCATAAATTACGGGAATTTCAAAGGAAATAATGGAATACTAAAGTTCAGTAATTAGAGAGCCGATAGAAAAGTCCAAGTTTCGTGGTAGAAACAAGGTCATAACAAAAGTTTGGGTATTCCATTCTGTTCTAATTACTACTATATCGACGCTTCACGCCAGTTTTTGCGACCTAATCTTGGAAAACTTATTCTGGTTCAATTTCATGTCAATTTTCCTGATATTTTCAAAGCGAATTAAAGCGATCGAGTTTACAGCATTCATCTGTCCAATACCGGTTCTTTGGAGAATTATTTTTGTAAACGAAGAGTCGATGGTCGATGATGACCCGCTTAAGGAATAATGGAAAAGCAAAGTTGGGAAACTCGACGGTCGGCTAAGTGGTCTGAAATTTTGGAGAAGTGCGAACGTGCATGGAAAATGTCCTCTATGGCTTGACTGGCTTTCATCGATAACGTTTCGCTTTCCGTCTCGCCACAATTTCCTTTGGCTTCGTTCGCGAAATGTACTGCATACCATCTGAATGTATAATATGTCTAAAATAGTGCGGACTAAGTTATTTCTCTGTCACGTTCACCACATGATCATTTGTATGAATCCTCCAATGCAACTATCAATCACAAGTGACTGAAGATACCAAATGAAATTTCCTTGCAACTATTTGTTCAATAAACCAATTATTTTATTATCAATAACCAAATATTTATTGGATAATGAATCTTTGGACTGGTAAAAAAAATACTTGTGAGAATAGAACCAAATGTTGCCCATATTTTTGACGCTCATTCTAAACCCTGGTTTATGAAAGGTGCATTTTGCACGTGGCATTGTGCAACTCGCTAGTGAATCATGTATGAATGTATGCACGTCAGATCACGGTCATCGCACTCGCTCGGGTACTCGTATCTTCTGTACGTGATGGAATGTCTGAAATATACCGGTGTCATTGGTATACTACGCGAACTAATGCACATGGACCGGCTGACGTTTCGAAGACAAGAGTAAGCGTGGGTGTACTCGAATCCAGTTCATTTCACCTGGATCGATTACTCTGAAATTGTCGTCTCATTGAACGCGATACATCAATTTTCTGATAATGGAAAATGTTTCATTAGTAACTTGGGATATTAAATGGAATAATTAATATCATTGCAACTGATGATGTAATAGCTAAACTGCCAATTTATGCAAAAAGAGAAGAAAGGAAATATATCGATTGGGGTTTTTCTGTTTATTAATAGTAGCGTGATATTTTTCAGATGAAATCCATATAAAAGCGATGAAGAAACGAGGCAATCATGACAGCAAGGCTGGAAAGAATCGACAAAACGATGGAAACGTTACAAACGATAAGAAGAATGATAAGAAGAACGACAAGAAGAAAGTTGTTTTAAACGATGACGCTCAGAATGAAGGTTTCGGCGAATGGCTACGATCCAGCGACGGTATTGAAATGATGCGACTCTTCGTCATAGCCAATTCGATTTTGATCTTCGTGACAATGGGATTTCCAAAGATGCAAGAAGCTTTCGTTATATTCAAAGAGTACTTCTACGGTGAAGGATAAGTGCAATTTATCGATAGAAATTCTAAAGAAGAATAATTAATATACCAACAAGAAACGGGTACGATTTTCAAATTGTTCAATACTTGCGACACAGAAATTATCTTCAAGTGAAAATTCTACACCTGTACGCTTGTAACATGATTCAACATCAAAGAACGTAATAACGAAACAGAAATATTTCTTTCGCTATCCTTTCAGACAAGTATCGAGTGTGTCGACAAGCTATTGATTCTCCAGGTTGGAAAATAGCAAAAAGAAATATTTACGATCTGTCCAAAGGCTTCTTTAACCCTTTCACCGTGAGAGAATTCAACGCAAAACACGTGCTCTAAATAGTACATTTTTAGCACTGATACACGACACATTTCTTTGATAAATAATATAGTAACTATTCGTTGCAAGAAGGAAAGGTAGAAGTTGTTCTTAGAAAATTTAAAAACGTATCGATAGAAAATATTAGAAAATACTTTACAATTAGTAAAATTAATTAGAAATCTAGAGGTACCTATAACACAGGATAAGTAAGCTTTTAGAGTACCCCTAGGCACCAGTAACAGTGAAAGGGTTAAATTCGAAAACATTCTTTTATAATTTTTTCATTACAAAGAAATTGGTTGTGAAATCTGAACCAATCATGCTGGGAATGATTTTTCGCGGGATCTTTCTCATTGGTATACTCACCTGGTACAGCACCAACGTGTGGAAAATGATCGACGGTTACTTCAGGGATCAGTTTCGAAGCTACCTGGAGGAGGAGTATCGCAAGAATCCGCGAATGAAGAGCGACCTGCAGGGTCACTTAGCCGATAAAACGATTCCCGTTGTTACCACGACGAAGCCGGAAACGACGGTGGCGCCTGCGCCGGAGATCATCGAAACCGAGCACGTGGACACGCCTGCGGTCGAAGTTGCAGAAAATGATTCTGCGATCGAGAATAAAGAGGTGACAGGTGGCACTAGTGAAAACGAGACCGCAGGGGGATTCACCGATAAAAATGCATTCCTGGGAACCGCCACGGAATCCCTAGTGGAAAGTAGGAAGTGGTCCGAGAACGAAAAGGAATCTCAACAAGTCATTAATTACGAGGATCGTGGCCTCGAGCACCGGGAGAACGACGACGATCATCGATCAGTCTCCCAGAAGTCTGAGAGCCCGCGAAAGAGAATTAAATATGACAAGCAGCTGATCGTCCCTAGGGACATTTTAAGAAGACGAAACGTAAAGACGGTCATACTGACCGAGAAGGATTTTAGGTCGGTCAGGAAGAATCGTCGCGTTTCAAACGATGATTTTTGGGAATTCGATGAAGATGCGGATAAGAATGAACCGGTGGAAGGTATTTTGGTTTCTGAGTTACCCTTCAAGCCTAAGGTGGATATAGGGAATTTGGTGAGAGTCACCGCTGATGAATATTGCCCTTTGACTTTGGAGGATGAAGCTTCTTGCGGTGAAACTTTTAAATGGGACTGTTAATTTATTTATATTGAATAAATAAATTTAAATTTTATCATTGGATTGAAGATCGATAGATATTGTTTTATATAACTACGCAAGGAACAAATGAAATGTTTCCTTCTAGGAGGTATTATCTTTAATATATTATTTATGTAACTGCGGCTCGCTGTAATTTACAAATTCCATTGAAAGACAATCTATAAAAGTTTATATAAAATATTTTTAGTATACTATATAGTTTATATCGAATAAATAATATCTGCGTTTAACTTTAATATTTACTTAATTAACTTCCTCATTATCTTTGTTCATTATAATAGGCTTATGAAAAATAAAAATTGTATTATTTTAACCGTCTTAATTATTCACTACTCGCTTTATTAAAAGCAACTTTTGTACACTGCAGAAGCGTATAAGGTAATAAATAAATTAAATTACAGTACCATCAAGTTTTATAGACACGTAACGTTCCAATTATCAGTATGTAAAAATTGCGAATAAAATATGTCAAATGGCAAATGATTTCCCGCTGAGAAAAGTGTTTCATTTATTTTCTAAAATGAGCTGAGGAAGCATTTTATGTGTAAGAATATAGAGACATTATTTATAGAAACTTTTTCTACGGTTGAAGAAGTCTCGACAGGTTTTAAAATGTGCCCCATCACTTCAACTGCATATTCGATGCAACTGTCCGTAAAGAAACTTTCAAACGATCGGAATGCAAGGGAACAGTCGCCTCTGTTAACTTGAATACGATGAACCATATTTTTGAGAAATTAATCATACGTTAATCACCGATAAAAGAACAGAAAAAGGGTTCAATGTTACAACGATCTGGGTCAATGCTAATTGCACTGTTGTCTTACAATATTTTATACAGGAAAAAGTTCTTCAAAGGTATCAAGGATTCGGAAAAAAAATAAAAACTCAAGTTTATAAAAGAGAAAATAATCAGCGTCGTATGATTATACGATAATCAAAAGACAGTGATTAACAACATAATTGCCTGTTACAGTAAGAAGCAGCAAAAAAAAAAAGGAATGAGGAGGAACTTTCTACTGGAAGTTTTAAAAATGTAACACACCGAGTGCAAGTGAAACTTGCAGACAAATTAAAAAGACAAATTTCATCGAAGATAATATTTCCAAGTAAAATAAAAATGATAAAAGCTGTGGAATTTAACAAGCATTTTATTAACGTGTTTCATGTACATTTCACTGAAAATGAACACACGTGACTGGGACGGTCTGCACGAATAGGGTCACCGTTCGGAATGATGCTGTCCTTTGACCTTGAAATTCAGGTCTCATATAGAGAAAACTATCGTGAAAGTGAAGAGAAACTGGGATCTATGCATTTCTATGCAAGTTTACGATTACCAGGGAAACTGAATTGCAAGAAGAGAACGTGTAAAAGTTTCAGTTTCTATCATCCTGCTCGTTCGTTGCCATTCTCTTTCACTCGATAACTTATCTAGCTTCCGTGCATTATGATATTTTTGACGGGTCTGATGTTACTGTTGTTTGCAACGGTGTTGGTGACACCGAATAGTGTCGGGTTATTTAAAGGTCTTCGCTATTTCTTTATTTGAATTTTTAATTTAATTTTTCTCATTGTACTGCCAACTGGCTGATGCCAAAAATGAATCAGAAATTATTCAATAAGTTGATTTTGAGAAAGCAAGATAAAGTAAAAGTAAAGCACTTGTTACGTGCGACAGAAACCGAGCGCGAATTTCTACCGGAATAACTTGAATATTACATCATTGCAATCGCGAACTGACTTTGAAACTATTACACGCCTATGTAATAAGCAATATCCACCAACTAATTAATGTCAAGTACAAATTATATCTGCGTACGTGTACTGTTACTTATTCCTTGCTATCTATCTGTAACACTATAAATTTTATAACGCAAATAGAGTAATTTGTTGCAAAAAAAATTAGTCTAATTATAGTAATATTTAGAATTTTCTTAAATTGTTTGTTTCTTTGTAGCATTAGTCGAAAATGACCCCCGCAATGGTTAACGCGTTGAACAAAAGACATTCTAGATGTTCTATTTTCACGTAAAACCGTTCCACAGTCGACATTGAAATTAATGATTTACTAACGGCCGTCCAAGGCAACGGTTAATGCAAATTAGATCACGAACAACACTGCTAGACGTGAAACGCAAACTCATTAAGGAAATTTGCTCGTTATTATTCAACGAGGATAACAAAAGGATGCATTTAGTTTTAGAGATCATCTTTGAACGCCAATTAAAGGAAACAGCAACAACCGTAATTAGGTGGTTAGATAACAATCATTTGTTTTAACTCTTTGAACATAAATTATAAGTTTCGTATAAACGTTGGATTACACGCAATAACCGTGTAATCGCTGTTTAAACTTTTATTAGTAGATCGCAATCTACATTATTTGTAACTTTTAAAAAATAATTAGTTTTGAATATTAATCGGGTTAGGAATGCAGTTTTCCGCAACACGTGAGTAGAATGAGATTATTACAGTCAATATCATTTCTCGGGTGCAGAAATATCTGATCGTTAGATAGAATTAGGTATAAGAATGTACAATTTATCATTGTCAGCTAGCGCCTGTGAAAATGTAATTAAAAAAAGAACTTGTCATCAAGAATGATAGAGTATTCAATTACACTCATAAGCGAAGAATTAATTTTACGTTTGCGACATCTAATATGCCGAGTGCAATAATTAACATGCAATTTCTTTAGTGATAATTTTCTTTCGATTCCTGTACCTTTGCTTGAAGAGTTATTTGAGTTATTTGAAATTCTACACGAAAATTTCTTAAATTTTAATATTTTAAAATTGCAAAATTGTAAAATTCCAAGATTTCAAAGCTCTAAAACTTCTAAACTCCAAGAAAAACAAATTTTAAAATTCTAAAACAACTAAATTAGCAATAAATTATATCAAATAATAATTTAACATTATTATTTCTACAGCATTAATAAAACTCAATATTAGGGCACTCTTTTACGTAGAAATTATATTTACTAGAGCGCAAAGAACATGATAAACTACAAATAACTGTGATAGAGGTCTGAAAACAGTCAGCCAAGACATTAGTAAAACTAATTTGCATTAAAATGCAAATAACGAATGCATCTAAAAGAGGTGATGTCCGTGAACGCATGCAAAATACTCACACAATTCTTTTAACAACATTACGAAAATTCGCTTCGTTGTAATATTAATAAGGATAAAATTATTACTTACACGTAACACTTTATTTAAGAACAAAATATCGGGAGAAAAAAAATTCTGGAAAATTTCCTACACTGTCGTACCATTACTTAAGAAATAAAAATCGAAACTGAACATCAACGTGCGATGTACATTTTCAAGGTGTGTACCTTATCGTCCCATAATGATATGATAAAAGCTTGAAACATCAATTTACATTTAAAATTACACCGGTACCGTTTCAGCGAAAGAGGAAAAGCGACGAAGATGTAATCTGTCCCTATCGAAGTACAAGAGGTACGCATGAAAAATCACACCGTATTGCTTGCTAATTATGCAAGACGACATGAATGTATGTACGTATGTGCATCATTTTACGTGTCCATGCCCATGGTCAACGTGTTACATATACGACAGGTGCAGGAAATGCATGCCTCCGGCTTTAAACTATGCCTTATCGGTATACGCGTGTTGAGAAGTATAAAATCCAACCCGTTGGATCATAAATAATAAATCCATTAGGTTTCGTGCTTGCAATAAAAATTTATTGTATGTTCTTTCCATGGGCGGATTATCTGCCGAGATTCTTCGTGTTTATTACGGTTTCAATATTTTCATCCTTGGTACGATGTACTAGGACTCGTATATTTATTCATGGGAGAATAATACTTGTTTATATGGATTCATTTTATTTTATTACTATAACTCTTGGATTTAAATAATTTGAAATTCTCATTTTCTAATTCTTGTATCTAATATTTCTTTAGATATTATTTTTTTAATATATGAAGGTCTTTCGTTTGGAAATTCGAATACCAAATAATTTTAAATTCAGTTTCTTCTAATTTTTCTTTAAATATTATTTTTCCAATATATGCAAATTTTTTGTTTGAAAATGCGAATACCAAATTTTAGATTTTTTCGCAGACGTTTCATAGGTCTGAGTCGCGATTTACCCAATCTCCGCCGATTCGCGCTTTAACATGTCTACCTATCATGAAACCATGCCATAAAATGGCACAGAATCATTCTGTCCAGGTCAGTTGTCCAGTCGAGTTTGTTATGTAGCGCGCATTGCTGGAAAAAAGGCCAGATAGGGAAAAAACTCGTCATGAACGAACAAAACCGTTTCCTAGATAACTAGGAAACATCGACAATGGCCTCGTTACGATCGACGACGATTTCTCGAGACTACTTCCCGCATGCTTCAATTTGGAATAGAAAAAGTGCACGACTCGCGGCAGGAAGTAATGTAACAATTCGATCGACATACGCGCCATGTAATGATACATTTCAGGTGACGAAAGGATTAATGTTGATCGTTTCCTTAATGTGTACTGTGTATTCTGTTGGTAGCTCATAATTTATTAAACAAGTTAATGATTTATGTGGTTGATTTAACTTTAACACGTGTGCATCCTGTGTTATAGGTTTCGCAAGTATAATCATCGAGAGAATGATGTTGTGTACTTGAAAGATAATGTATATTCCGACACTTTCATCATTCATTCGGTAATAATAAAAAGATATCGATTCATTTTTTGTTTGTAAATGATTAAAGACGTATCAGTTGCCAGGTCAGTTGTGATTACATTAGATTGATGCATAATTTCTTGACGCTTTCCTTTACATTTTCAATGCAAACTAACAATTGATGATTTGATGACAATGCTTGTAATTAGTAATTGACGACTAATTATTGACGATTCATTCATTTTAATAATTGATTCGATAATTGATAATCTTGGTAATTTGAAATTAATATTATTTCTTTACGATGTTTTTGCAAAATAAAATTACATCTCATTTCAACATCTTATTTAACGTCCTACTTTCATTTTTTTCCTTCAATATGTTGCAAATTTTATTACCTTACGTAAGAGACCAGATGCTTATCTCATTAACAGATAACAGCAAGCTTTGAATTAAAATTCTGCTTCAATGTAAGATTGAAGATTGAATCGAATGAAGATTCGATTTTAAAAGCCTCGCAACACGTCAACTTTCTTTTGACATGAACTTAACTTTCACGATTTGACAGGATCGGAATTGAAACGAAGAAAGCAGCACGATGTTACCTATCGATTTGAGGGAACGCACAACTCGGAAAGAGGTTTGTAGTAATTATGGGAAACATGCAAATGGACCGTGAAACGAGCAACACTAATTAGCTGGATCACTGTTGGAGAAAATCTTTTCACTTTCTTCCTGCCGTTCTTTTGTACAATGCATTTTTCTTTTCTCTCATTCGACGTACAATTACGCGTGCAATTGTATTCTCACGTGGATTTCTTTTTCTAAATGAAGTCGTTTCGGAGTTCCAGTAACACGAAACGTGTGAAAACGAGTGATTGTTTAATTTACACGACCCTAATTTCCTATGATACAAAATTTTTCAATTCTTGAAGTGGTATTGTGGAGCTTGAGATTATAGAAATATTAATAACGCTGCAAAGATTTAATTTTCTAAAACTAAAAATTTGTTCAGCGTGGAAAATTACATTGTAAAACTCGAGATTGCAAAAGTACTTCTTTGAAATTCTCAACACGTTCCTGAAAATTAAGAATTTTGAGAATGTTGAGAAAATTACAAAATGATATACAAAATAGGTTCGTGAAGTAACAGGAAATCAATTCCGTTCATTTTTATTCGACAAATATCTGCGTTACGCCATCGTTTACGTAAGTCAAGGCTTTACTACAAAGCAATGCAAAATAAACAGCAAGGTTTTTCATGAAATTTCCGGAACGTCCTAACGAAACAAATCAATTTACATATTCTATACATTTCTGTGTGCAGTTAATTAGATGAAAACTGCATCCTTCGAAGGTCTGACCGACAACCTATTGCATGTGTTTGTGCAACCAGTAACATTCTTGCATGAACCTATCGAGATTATCATTCCTAGAGATATGAAATTCCATCCCGCATTTTCCAAATGTTTCTCCTGCGTTTGAACCATTTAATTGAGAATGACAAGGTAACTCGTCATCGGAAAATGCTTCTCCAGACAGGATGACGAGTTAACCCGTTTTGGAATTTTGAAGACGACCCATGTTTTAAATTTGATACATTTTTAACCTTGTAATTAGGGATGGCGAATTAACTCGTCATTGGAAAATGCTTCTCCAGGAGAGATGGCGAATTAACTCGCTTTGGAACTTTGAAGACGACCGACTGGACATGACGAGTTAAATTATCACAATATATTTGACAGAATGCACTTTTCATAAGTGAGTTTCCAGTTAAAGGATTAATAAGCTATTACAATGCAACTGGGACAACATGTATGTTTTAAATAATTGGAGATTCCAAAAAATATTATAAAACAAAATGACATGGTGTTCAATGAAGCATATTCTGGAATTAATCCGTTGATTTCAAACATGAATGTTTTATAACCATGTTTTCAGTTAATTATAAACAGTTAAAAATGACAGAGCAAAAGATAAGCCTTGGAAAGTGATGAAGAATAATTAGTCTCATAAAGTAAATAATATGAATAATGTATCATAAAGTAAAAGTGAAATGAGCATCGGTACAGGCAACCTACATCTACTACTTTCACATGTATATCTACAAATGTATATAAACCTTGAAGCTTTAGGAATACAAATTTTCAACAATTTTATAAATTATTCATATCTGCTGCATTCGTAACACGAGTTAAAGTATCATATACATGCTCGAGCACGTGAGTTATCCACTTTCGTACAAGATTCAGGTCTCGTAAAATTGTATACATACTGAGATTCGCCATGTTGTAAATAAAGGAGAACACTTGGCATTGAGTGTTTAGGTAATTTCTATAACGGTTAATGTATAGAACGAAAATTTATAGAAGAAATGTGATAACTTTGCTACAGAGCTAAACAGAAAGCTTATGGTTCTTCTGATAAGGCAAATTTTAATAAATAACTCTGTGAATCTCAAATTAAGAATAGATAACAGTTTATCAGAGCTATGATTAATTTAATTTAATTTAGAATCTATTTTTTTATTTATAGCATTGTCATCGTAGTTCTGATAAATAATTATGAATTTTAGATAAATTATTTTCAATCTCTAATATTTATATTGTAAAATATTGTAAAACTGTAAATAGTTAAAAAATTTTTTAATAATGCTGCTCTTTAAATGTAAATTCAAAAATATGTTATCTACTACATATTACAATACAGAAATAAAAATATTTCAAAACAAGTTTTTACTTTCTCCATTCTGCAACTCTTATCCATGCAACATGAATGAAAAAAGTCCATGTGTATCTTATCTTCTTTCATTCATGTATATTTCCGTCATACTATATAAACAAGAAAATTCATAATGTTTCACGAATAAAGAAACCATTAATTAAAACAATTAAGTTTACATAATTTGCTGAGACACGTGTCATTTTCGCAGGAACGCGTTTCGCAGAGTATGGAACATTTTCGCGTTAGGTGTTCCATTACAAAATCTGTCCACGTTACGCAAAGCAGGTAAACGTGCAATGGGGTTTGAACTGCACACCGAAAATCGATCACGTATGAATGCAACGGTACCCCTCCTTTTAACATTTACCAGACACGGTTAAAATTCTAAAACAGTAACCCAGTGACACTTAAAAAATATATAAATATCGAAAACATTTATTTTCACCTGTTGAATTAAAACACGGTTAATTTAACTGTGGATGTTAAATTAAGTCAAATTCAATACTAACAAATTTTAACACTAAGAAGAGGAAATCGTCAAAATTAGTTAAGAAATATTGAAAATATTGTTTTTCCCATCTAAACAATTTTCTAAAATTATTTATTCTCGTTTAGAAATACTAAGTAAGAATATTATTAAGAATATTACTAAATTAAAATCATTTCTTCAGTACTTCTAAACAAAAATAAATAATTTTAGAAAATTATTTAGATGGGAAAAACAATATTTTCAATATTTTTTAATTAATAAATTTGACGATTTCCTCTTCCTAGTCTAACTACGGCTAAACATCCCATAAGACTATACCAAAATGAAAAGATCATCGAAGAGGAAATGTTCTAAAAATTCTAGCCACGTTTATCGCGGGAAGGAAGCATGTCACGAAAACCGGCGATAACAGAATGAAAGAAAAGTTAGGAGGGAAAGCATAGCAGAGAGTTGGTGGGCCGGCACTACCTGTTGCAGAGGAAGGGCTATAGTAGAAACACAGCAGGATCTCTGGAGGTTCGCATTCCAGCAAGGAGGGCTGAGAGAAAGAGAGACATGCGCCGGCACGCATCGTTTTAGGAACTGAAAAGGGCCCTTTTAGACCTCGACTCGAGAGGACCCGGATGCCTGGTCCTTCGAAGGACGGTATTGTTCCGGGCCAAAAAGCGCAGCACACCGTACGAGACCACCATGGCGTAAAACACTACGGAGTCTGAATGCTGGCCCAACCTAACCTCAAATTCCATCAAGGAGTAATACGAAAACATAGCCACTCACCTCGATGATCAATCCTCCCGCGTTATTCTCGTTGGACAACGATATCTTCTTCATTCATCGAACAGGAGGTTTCACAGAAAATCACCTCACAAGGCTCGTGTCAAAACACTCCGCTACACTCGCGTTACCACAGCGCATAATGTGCACTGTTTGAAAAGCTCGCGGTTAAAAACACGTAGGAATTCGTTGTTCGACACGGTCGGACGGTTTTAAACACGCGAAAAGCGTGCGCTTCGCGTTCACGTGGCACGAACAACGCCGAAGATAAATTCGAGACGCGATCAACAACACAACTTTGACTCGGGTGCTTCGAAACGAGAGAGATGAATGTGACAGAAACGCTAACCGATGTGTTGCCGTTTGACCTGTCTCTAAACTGACCAATCGCCTTGCAGGTGGTACGCTAGGATGCTTCTCGCTCACTTGGTGGGGGAAGAAAACGGGAGGGAAAAAGACCACCTGACGCGCAACCTTTTGGGGTCCGCTAAAAGATCACTCTGGGGGACCATAGGGGTCCTTTCGCCGTATCTTGGAACTCGCTTGGGGGATTTCAACCGATGATCGGTAAGTTAACTATCCTAGTGGTCTTTAAATGGTATTAAGGTGATGCAAGCGTCGAAACCGAACTTCGAATTCCGCGTCGGTAAAACAGTCAACGTTTCATCGAAAATTAGGCCGACAGAAACTGATTTAAGCGCCACCTTAGTTATTGCATCCAACTTACGGTATGCTAAATTACGTCACCTTCCGCAAACACCTATACAAATGACACATGTATGCTACGATAGCTATATGTATAAGTACATAATTAAACAATACCACCGAGAAAAGTTATTATAAAAAAGCAGGAATTTATATTATTTTATTGCATTTTTATTAGAAAGCTGTAATTAAAATTAACTGAAGTAATTAATTTATTTTATAGTCTCAAATTTTGAAATATTTTAGATACTTTTCAACAATTTCACTATATTTGTATAAAAAAAATCTAATTTTACAATGTTTTGATGCTGAGACTCTTCTTGTATCCAGTCATACAATTTAAAGCGATAAAACGGAAATTCTGTTGTTATTCAATATTTTTATCAAACAATTTGGAAGTGAACTGTTATCGCGCACAGATTTTGCGATATCATTTTCTGACACAGATGAGAAAACATCACGAGGCAGGCTTCAAACGGTGATTCAAGGCTGACCTGGCATAGGTACTTATTGTATCAAGTCTCGTTAACAGAGATGTTCATTCACTCGTACTCACAGATGACCAGTATGGTTCGTGCAACTTGCTACGGTCAGATTGACCCCGCATCTCGGTACAGAGGTGTCAGTGAAAAGTCTCCAGTGTCATCATAAAATGTGCTTAAAGTGTCGGTGCCACGTAATGAAAAGTCGAACTATACGTTTGTACATTCGATAGACATGGCAGCGCTTGTTCGTCTTAAACGTGGAAGCGTCCAGTTGAGACTTGCGGCGCGGGAAATGAAAGGTAAGGAAAAAATTCATCAAAAAGAAATATACTTTATTAATTACGTCAATATGGTTTTCTTTATTATGAAAATTTGAACAACATTAAAATGTAAATAGCTTTAGAAGATCTAAGAACTGATATTGACATAACTAATTTGGTTAAAATTTGGAATATAATAATTCTCAAGAGTTAAATTAGTCAATTTCATAGAACAAATATTATGGAATACGTAATCTGCAGAAGTTGATTAGGAATTTAAGAATTTCGTCAGTCACAATTTTTATCGCAATTTCGAGAGTCACGAGGGTGCTAAAATAGCAGTTAATTCTCTAAGCTTTAAATTATTTTTTTACGATATAGAAGTTTTATTAAAAAATTTTAATAATGATGTGACAAATTAAGTACTAAAATCACAAATACGTGACCAGTTGAGATGGTCGAAGTACCCTTGCATATATTTTGTAATTCTGAATCACGATTAATCCAGCAGCCTCCGTTTAATGATTAATAATCTTTAGTAATTATTCCTATCGATATCCAACGACTGACTAGAGTTTTTATACTGATGAATAATATTTAGACAGTCCTTAGGTATCCAGACATCTTGGGATTTATTCTTATCATTATTGTACATATTCCACTTGTAAGTTTTCCTCAATCGAGTCGCGGTTCTGTCGATGTTTCAAAATGTTTGATAGCATGGTCCAGACAGAAACGTCAATAAACAAATCGGAATTAATTTTTGGTAACTTCTTATCGTATTGTTTCAATCAACTATGATTAAAACTCGACCATTGTACGATAGCGACGATGTAACGATACGTTATCGATTGTGTTCAACTTCTAATTATATCATTTCTCACACGATGTACAACATGAAACTTTCCATCCTATCTGGACAGATCGAAGTGGTACTTTTTTAATCTGAAAATAAACGGTATATATTATAAATACAACTGGTTGATCGAAATGAGAGAAAGAATAAAAAAGAAGTGTTCTTATCTATTTGTTGTTTCAAGAAACATTATTTGCACTATACCAAAGTCGAGGTCACCTTCGTTGTACGGGGTAGGAAAGAGATAATAGACGTAGAATCAAACATACGAGAGCGATAAGAGAGGTATGCACTCGTTGATTTTACTCCTTTCGAGTTTTGTGAAATGGCAGAGTTTGTCAAGCGAGGCAGTGAACAATTTGTGAAACACAGCGGCGTTCAAATAAAACAAGCAGCGAAAGAGGTTCGAGGTTCGTCCAATTAAACATGATACAATGCACACATGATAAATTAAAAATGCATCTTAATTTTTATATTAATTATGGATTGAATTCAAATTCAAATTATGCAGCTAAATGTAAGAAATACAAAATTTGTAAATGCAAAGATTTTGTGCCTTTTAATTTCTTTCTGACGTTTGCCACGTTTATTAAACTTATTACCAAGATATATACGTTTGTCATACAATGCAGGGCAGGTATACCTTTAATATTGGATTTAGACTTACATGCTTGGATGCACTGAATTAAAAATGGAAACCATGAATTCTGCTGTTTGGTCCTCTTATCAAAATCAAATAATGTTCTACGAGTATTACAGACGATGTTTAGCGTTTTTGATACAATCTACATATCAGTGACTTGTTTCGCGATTGTTATAGCGAATCAAAAGCGAATTAGTTTATTGAATATCGTATTATCTGTTGTGGAATGAATTAAAGAAATCCGTAGAGATTTATTTGTTACCCTATGTTAAGCTGCAAATTAATGTTTTGATAAAAATATCTTGATTTGATTCTTCAGCGGCTGTACGAGCGCGACACATCGTTGCAGCACTCGTTGCAGTTGGGTTTGCACTCTGCGGTGCAGTTGAAGTCAGCTCTTCGGTTGCATTGCTAGCCAATCAAAAAGACAATCATGCCATTATTGACACATCCTGGCACTGCGACATGCTGGTCAACATCAGTAGTCGTAATCGCACTGAAGATTTTGAAGTTATACTTATGGAGGTAAATCTGACAATGTTGCAATTATACATTTTTGTATCGAGTATAAATATGTTGAAGTTTATAATTTAATACAAATGTAAATATTTATAGTTACCACCGGAGGAACGTACCGAGTCTATAATGAGAGAGGCGTTCTTGTGGGGTCAAGTTGCTGGACCGATTTTAGGAGGATGTTTGGTATGGGGAAGGTCAGGCCCATCCATGGTGTTTTCACGTGCGGTTCTTAGCGCCTGTTTGGCGTCTTTGTTAGTACCTGCTGCATGGAGAAGTCCTTCTCACGTGGCACTCCGTCTGTTTCAGGGACTGTGTACGGTAAGAATGAAGAAAAAGTATTATACAATTATGAATTGATTAAATATTTACTTTTATAATTTGATAAGTTTCGAGAAGCTTTCAAAATTAACAAGCTGTCATGTACAAAATTTAATATCTTGATGGAAATGTGATTTCTATTTTTTGTAGGGTGCAACTATGCCTGCTGCACATATGTTTGCTATGACATGGTTTAAAAGCAATCATAGAAGTTGGTATTTCAGTTGCTATGCTGGTAAATATTTATTTTTAAATTTCATTGCAACAATTAATAAAAATCCTAACATATAAATTGAAACTTTAGAAAGCAAATGTAAAATTTGCCACGTCTTTCAGTTTTTTATTAATGAAAATGACATTTTGTAATAGCTGTCAGTGTTGGATACTGCCTCACAGGATGGTTGGGTACAGCCATGGTTCGAGGTTTTGGCAGAGATTCCCTTTGTTATGGTCTGGTCATTGTTGCACTATGTTGGTACTTTGCTTTTGGCCGATTCGTCAAAGATACGCCAAAATCATATCAGCATGACACAAATGTAAGGATCGTTATTTAAGAAAAGAACAAAATTTTTATGGTTCATTCTTAAATAATATTTACACTATTATTCGTAATAATTACATCGATAAATTTTTGATATTTTTACATTCAGCTTCTTTTAAAATTACATCACCTATTTTCTAATTTAAAAATGAACGAATTCCAGTTTTCATTTACAATTGTTTCCCTTGCATTATCATTGTTACCATAGTTTTTATGTACATATTCTTACCTGTTTTGGCAACGTAACTCGAGTATTACGGCACATATAAATCACATAAAAAAACAAATGCCTTATAAATTATGTGATATTATATCATTACAATCGCGATGCCATTGTTTTACAAGATTAACAAGATACCAGATTGGGATAGTTACGTTCGCGCCAAATGTTGAATAAACTGTATTGTTACGTGTTGTGTTATGAGAACATCATATGCGTATGAGTTTTAATCCTTTTTCAAATAACAATTAAAACTCTTTAGCATTGAATGGAGATTTTTGGGAGTAATAAATATACTGAATAAAAAGAAAAGGAAAAATAATAACTTTGAAATTAATAATGAAATAGGCAGCGGTAATTCCATGGGGAAAATTACTGCGATCCGTTCCAGTATGGGCGTCCGCTGTAGCCACAATGGGCAATCAATGGGGTGACGCTACCCTAGCACTTGGTATGACGAAATACCTAAAACTCATCTATGGTTTCTCTACAGCTAATGTAAGTTTTCTATTTTAATACCACATTTTAATGCATCATTTAAAATTATTCATTTATAAAATAATTCTGTATTTAAGTTAAAAATAATTGGACAAGGATTATTTAAAGGATAAATAATTAACAATTTACGGATAAAGGATAAAATTAAGGATAAAATTTACAATTTTTTTAGGATTCCGTTCTGACAACATTACCTCATATCGGTCATTTCATGGCTGCATTAACGTGTGGTCTCCTTGTGGATCACGTTCGTGAATCAAAAATAGTTTCAACCACCACAGCAAGAAAGCTAGTAGTTTATACTGGTATGTATCATAATTAAAAACAAGTATATTTTCGGCACAATTACTCAACTAATTTTATCGCCTTCATCTGTAATAAAGAAATTAAACAAACTGTGTTCTCAAAAATATATTTTCTTATCTTTCTGATTTATGGTTACGCAGCATGCAGGAAGTACAACTTTTGAATAGCTTGCATAAGCATCACATGAGCAAATCATGATTATGAATTTCATTTTTATGTTAATTGAAACTATAATTAAACAATGTTATATTTCCTTCAGCTGATTTTTGTCAGATTTCAAATTTGCAATTATTTTACAGCCCATTTTATACCAGCAGCCTTGCTCTTTGTTGCTGGCTATGCTGGTTGTCAAGCTCTAGGAGCAGCCTGGTTGGGCATAGCTGCACTATTAGTTTCTGGAACTGCACCTGCGGGTGCATTGGCAGCTATAGCGGACCTTGCACCTGTTGAATCTCCAGCCTGTGCAGCGGCTGCGTGTGCATTATGCTCCACCCTAGGAGCAGCAGGCTTATTAGCTGCTAATTATTTTGTTACTCAAGCTCTGCATGGTTCTGTAAGTTAACATTTTTTTTTTTTATTACTCATAAATTAATGACCATTTTTTTACAGAAATTTAAAATGTTATTTTGCCCTCTTCTTCATAATGGAAAAGAAAAATAAATAAAACTGCTGTTTAAAATTTGGGCAATGTCAAAAATGCATAAAGTTTATTTTTTAATGAATAATAAATTTGTTTCAGATTGCTGGTTCTTGGCGTCTGGTATTCGGTGTCGCTTCCGTTGTTCTTCTGTCAACTGCTGCAGTTTTCCTGGCTCTTGGAAAAGGTGTTCCACAACCGTGGATTGCTTCCGTTGACCGACCACGAAGTCACGATGCTATTTACGAACAAGACACCTTGGAACTCGATTACGAGGACGTCGGTGTACAAACAGAGCCTTTCAGTCCTTACTCACTGGAGGAGGACGTGGAGAGCGCGAAAAATGTGCCTCGTTCTGCCTCGGTCCATTCGAAAGTTTCACAGGCATCTAATTAAATTCATGTCCATTGTTGGAATGTTCGTATTTATTCAGTATTTTCAACCTTATCATGTATATACGAGTTCCATAAGTATTCACACCTTTTCAATTAGTAACTGTAGCAGCATGATGTTATCTAATATGAATATTATTAATGAAAATTAACTTCTTACGACAAAGATTCTAATTTAACACGTTGTCTATCTCAGTAGAAACAACCATCTGTAGTCAGACACGTTTTAATTTTAATACAATTACTCAACATATTGATAATTAATTGATAAGGCTTGATAAATAATTTGTTTATTGCTTATTTCGATATTCTTGAAAAAAATCTCTATGCAACTGTAGGTCGATATAAGCATATCTTTTGTAATTAATAATCAGTTTTTAAGGGCATATATGTAGAGTGTCTCAAAAAGGTCGTACAAATAGAAAACCTTAGGATATGAGTAATTACACATTTGGTACTTGATTTTTGAAATGCATTATGAAGTGACCAATATTTTTGAGGCACTCTGTACATATAGGTAATTGTTAGTTTAGAATATATATTTTTGAAAATTGTATATATGTTATAGAGTCTATTATAAATGAGATTACATACTTTCTAAGTTATATAGTGCTAGTGATACATACACTTCGCAAAACAATTAAGGGATCACCTCTACGAACCCGAAAAATAAGGCGAGATTCAGATGGTTATAACTTCGAGAAAAATGGTCCAATCGATATCGCGGAAAGATCATTTGAAACTGTAAAATCTCTATTTTCATCAGACATCCTTTTAAGATTTGAGATATATTGAATTTTATAAAAGTTATAGTGATATAAGTTATAACCATCTGAATCTTGCCCAATTTTTCGGGTTCGTAGAGGTGATCCCTTAATTGTTTTGCGGAATGTATTATCTATGTTTGCAATATTTTATGTTTAAATAACTCAGTAAAATAATTAAAGAAATAATAATAAATACATTTTAATAAAATAAATTTTATTTGAAAAAAGAATACAAAATGCTTTACTGTATTTTATATAACAACAATACTTGAATGTAAATTTTGTTACGTGTTTGGTTATGCAGTAATATGAAACATTTGCATTGAAAATTTTCTGTACAATCACTCGTATAACTCTCTTTTGCAATAATTTGCTACACAATTGTTAGCTAAACTCCAGAATTAATCAAGATGGTAATCTGAACTCTGTGAATTTACCTTTCTCCCTCTTTGTCCCGTATTTCTTCGCTGATTGCACAGAAATACATCGGTACATGCACAGCAAAACAATGAAATACTCCATCTTTTACGACGACTTTCCATCACCGAAGAGGAAAGTTAATGAAAACAACGATCGTTCTAATTAGAAGGCGAACTATTCCTATATCCTTTCGGCTAAAACGTACGTATGTTATTGGTACGTTTACAGGATACCGGAAGTTACAATTTGCCAAGCATAAGAAGGCTGTTTGGTTGGCGAACACTTTTATTTTTTTTAAGACAACCTTTCACACGTGCATCCGGTTCCAGCGGAAAAATCGTAAGGCTGCCTGCGGTTGCCGGATGAAAAAGATTTTTTTCCATTACTGGTGAACTGCCTACTTCCGTTCTATCTAATATTAAATATAGCACTATTATAAATATCCGGATATTGATTGCACTTTAAAATAATGCATTCAAATGCATTTTTGACAAAGAAATTCTTGCATTAATTTAAAAATTAAATTCATATCTCTTACTCTTCGCTATTTCTAGATTTTCTAAAGTAAATATTTTTAAATTAATAAATTCATTTTGTGCAAAGTATACCGTGCTTGTAGACTTCATATTTTGCTGGCAATGTCTGTATCTCATAAATCAGTTAAATATAGATCTGACAGATCAATTCCGTATAATTTATCTCGCGTACAAAATAGATACCCTTGTACGATCGCGTGATTTCACTTT